TCACACATCATTAAAACAACAATTACGATATTATCGCAGACGATATATATTGCAAACCCCTACCACTAGTATGACAAAAAAAAAAATTTACGACCACTTAGTCTGCTCGAATCATGCCCTCAACTTTTTTTTTGTGTTCACATTCCAAATGCCATAAAAGGCACCAAGTTTTGTAACATTCTGATGAAGCTGTGATTTAAAAACAATTCAAAACAGAAAATTTTTCGGTCAAGAGTGACCGAAGAGCACCAGAGGTTAAGTATTTTAACAAACTGTCAACATTATGTTATGTTACAAAATGCTGTTAAATGAGCTTGGTAACCCGGAATACTTTAATAAGGTTCAATGCAAAGACATATAAGCAATGTGATAACGTGATAAAAATATTGCATTATGCTGCAGCTACAATAACATAAAGCAGCTTTTCATGAATGAGAGAATGAGAACTAGAGCTCTGATTTATTCTGTGGAATAAAGCTGATTCACACAGCAGCTGTCTGAATCACAATGGACAGTGTTAATCACAGTACAGCTCCTCTCCCATCACAGGAGACTGGCACAGACTGACCACGAACCCAAAACATTCTTCTCCTCTCACGGCACAAGAGCTCAGCGGCCATGGGTGGGCTAGCTGTGATGAAATATGGGACTTCCTCAATGTGCAGTGTATCATGGGTGTGTGCAATAAAAGCACTTGAATGTCAATGTACTTAGGGATGTACATATGCTTCTTTAAACCAACTTAAAATCATCTTCAGAAGTGTACCTGAGACTAATTTAGAAGGGCGCACATGGGCTCACATTTGTAATTGCTGCTACTGAATAAAGATTTTTTTAATTATTTAATATAACAAAAAAAATATCTGGGGGAAAATAAATACTTTATAGCAAAACAGGGCTGTTACAGTCAACTGAAATGAAAACTAAAAGCATTAAAAAAAATGTTACTTGAAAATAAAACAAATGTTCCCTGAAATAAAATAAAATAAACATATTTTATTTCAGACAACTGCCAAGGAAATATTTAAAAATGTTTAACTAAATTTTCATTTAGTTTAACTTGATATGCTAAAATAACTAAAACTATATATGAAATAAAAAGTAATGTTAAAAAATGCATAGACACTATTTAAAAAATAATAATAATAAAATGACAAAAACACAACAAAATTGCTAAAACTAAAATGTAAATAAAATAATAAATAGTAAAAAAATTAAATGAAAATTATGGTAAAAGCAATAACAGATCTACAAAAAGTGGAAAAATGTATATCAACTAGGCCTATAGAAATTACCCACGAGTTTTAAAATGTCTAAATACCCACGAGTTCTAGGTCAAGAAGTAGCATCAGCTTGATTAAAATGCATGAATTGAGCATTAATCGCCCTTTACTAAATGATGGCAGCGTCATGAAATGAATGTAAACAATTCAAACCAACCAACATATAAAGACGTTTCATGGCACCAACCTACAGTATGATCATATGTTGGTTATTGATTTTACATGTTGCACATCTAGAAGAATATCATGTGATAGTGAGCATAACTGGTCCTGGATCAGCTAAACCTCATAAACTGGACATGAGCTCTGCCTGCTGACACATGACACTCTCATCAGCCTCTATATTCAGCTAGATGTTAAATTACATTAGAACATAGCTGGATCCACTCTCCATTTCAACAGACGCCCATTAACTGCACACCACAGATCAGATCTACTGCCAGATTCAGAAAACGAATAAGTGTGAACTCACACACAAAAACATTCAGCTATAAATCTACAATAAGAATCAATATAACACCAAAGTCAGAATTACGGTGGTACTATGGTAACGTTAGATGGAAAAACCATGGTAACAGATGGTAAAACCATGATACTTCAAATATATACCATAGTACTGAATGATTACCATACCCAAGTGCCACAACATTTACATGGTTCTCCAAACCACTCCCAAAAATACCATGGCATTATCAACAGTGCATGTCAAATAAAATGCCATTATCTTACAAAAAAGTAAGAGCATTGCAATGGCACAGTGGGGTAATACCATGAAACTTCTACCTACTGTACCGAGACATTTACATGGTACTAAAAATTACTTCAAAAAATACAGCAGTACTATCAACAATGAATGTCCAAAAATTGCATTATCGTGGTACTATCAATGGTAAATGAGTAAAACAAACCACAAAGAAGCACTAGGCCTATAATATTCTACTATGGTAATATCACAGTACTCTACCATGGGAATATCAGTACAGTACTCTTCGAAATACCTAGAAGTTAGAGTATATGATAATAATGCATTGTTATTAAATGATGGCACATTTCCAAGATTGTACATTTGTGGTAATAGTGGTGTATTATGTAAATACTATGGTAAATATTAGGGATGCACCGATACCGATACTGGTATCGGGCCCGATACTGAGCTCCTGTACTCGTACTCGTTAAAATGCAAAACGCCGATACCACACAGCATGTGATAAGTGCCATATTCAGACAAAGAAACACCGACAACAGACAGCAGAATGGAGTTATTAGAGATTAAAGATGTCTACGAAGTATATGTATGCAATGAATATAAAACATTCAGTATTAATGCCTGTATAGCTGATGTGCGTGAACTGATAAACAAAGCACGCTGAGTGGATTGAGCGCATGGCGGCGCACATGTGGGAGCTTGTCGAGTGAATATCCCTTTCTCACAGACATCACTGGAAATTTGTAGTTCGGTCGGATATGTCAAAAAGAAGTAAGTAAAACAATGCACAAGTTACTTAATGGTAGGGAGGGAGAGAGGGAGAGAGAGAGAGAGAGAGAGCGCACACTTCTGTTGTGTGATCTTTATTGATGTTCGCTCACTTAGCACGCATCATTTGGATTAAAACCAAATCGTAAGACAATTTATAAGGGCATTCACTATAAACGTCATTTATTTTCACCCTTAAGCATTCTGGCGAAAGTGAAACTAACAGCCTGTGTGAAATGCGCTAGGCTGTACAGTACTTGTCCCTCTCATTCCGCACCAGTACAAATACGTGAACGCGTTGCGCGTTTTGCTTGTTCCATGAGTGTTTCTGCATTATATGAGTGGCTTTGGAAAAGAAATCGTTGTACGTTTCAGATGGAAAAAACGCGACTTCTATTTATGAAAATATCACAGTTAGGAGATTTATAATGAGTGGTTCCCTGCATTATTACAGCAAAGCGCGTGATTACAGTACTAAGCCGCTGCAATGGAGCAGCTCTAATGCTATTAAATTAAAGATGATGTACCATAGAGAAAAAAAATGAACAGTGAAAGTAACAAAAACTTGTAAAATACATTTTAATGAGCATAATTAAGTGTGAAAATAACAGAAGGATATACAGTCAAACCAAAAACTATTCAGAGACCAGATATCATTTTTGATATTTTTTTTACTAGTGTGTGTGTAGGACACTATAGTTCATTTATGTAAATGAGGATAGCAAAATAAACTAAACTGTGATATATTATACCCAAAAATTCTTCATACAGTGGACTATAAGTAAAATTGATACAAATTTGGGACCAAAAATTATTCAGACCAAGTCTGGGAAAAAATGTTGTGGTTTGCATGAACCTGGTTGACAGCATGCCCAGGAGACTATATGCTGTCATTAAGACTAAGGGTCACCCGACAATGTATTGATAGTTGTGTAAATACTAGGGATGCACGATATATCGACCACCATATCGGTATCGGCCGATAAATGCTATTTTTTTCTGTTATCGGTATCGGCCTGACCGCTGTATGAATAATTTTGGGTTTATTGTAATCCATTACATACCTTTCTATCAAAGTTATCTAGCATTATCAAGCTGAATTTGTTCTGACACATTTTAACTCTGAGTTCTTATCATATTTTATTACCATTTTCTAAACTATAGTGAATAAACTGTGATAATGTGAGAAATGTTGAAAGTGTCTGAATAAATTTGGGTTTGACTATCTATCTGATAAATGAAGTTAACTAACATCATACATGCTCTTTTGGTTTCTGTACCCAATATTTTAAACATTTACGAATGCAATTAAATGCATTTTGATATCGGTACTCGGTATCGGCATGTACCAAAAATAAAAGTACCGGTATCGGGCGAGCACTGGAAAAAGTGGTATCGGTGCATCCCTAGTAAATATGAACAGTAAAGTCCTTACTTTTTATATACCACATTGTATATCATATAATGCATGACAATAACGGTTAAAAAAATGGAGGTTTGCTGCAGTAACTATGGTATTTTTGTAATACACACTGATAAAACTACTGGCAGTAAAAGACTGTAATGGTATTAGCATAATGTGTGATTACCTTACAAAAATGAAAGGGCGTTATCATGGTACAGTAGGGTAATACCAAGGTACTTCTACATGATGGCATTTACACGGCACTTTACCTAATACCATAGTATTAGCGTGGTAAACCCTGGAGTACAAACTCTAGAAAACTCTAGAGTATGAATAGAAGTAATAACAATCGTGTGTTATTGCAGGTTAGGCTACATATCCAAGGTTGTGCATTGCGGTAATAGTAACGTATCATGTAAATACTGTGGTAAACATGCACAGTAAAGCTCTTACTTTTTGTAGACCACATTGTATATCATACAATGCATGACAACAATGGTTAAAAACCAGGTTTAGAGAGTTTTACTGCAGTAACTACGGTCATTTCTGTATGACAAAACTACTGGACGCAAAACACCGTAGTGTTATTAACATAACAATATGTGGAAAATGTAAGGGCGTTATCATGGTACAGTGAGGTAATACCATACTGTATGAATGATGGCATTTATGAGGTACTTTACCAAGTACCGCAGTTTTACCGTGGTAAACTATCCCAAAAGCACCGTACTTTTTGAATACAGAAACCCTCACGAGGAGTTATCTCTTCAGTGAGCCGTTATTCCGCTATTACTGGTTATTAATGAACACAAATCAATAATAACTGAGTCACACCCACCGTCTATGTTCTCTCTGTCGCTGATGTGCTGCAGGTTGCAGCCCGTGTCCTCTCGGCTCAGCTCCGGTTCGGGCCGGTACGGCTCCAGCCTCGAGTGCGCGTTCCGCCGGAGCTTCGGGCTGGACGACACGCAGCACGACGTGCTGTTCCCCATGAGTCCCGCTGAGTGCGGATAACCGAGCGGCACTGATCGACGGAGCCCCGCCGCAGATGATGGGCGTAACAGCTGCGGATGACGGGATGAAACCCGGGCTGCGGGCTGCGAGAAGATCACTCGCGTGAGAAACGCTCGTGGAACGACATCAGCGTGTCACAATCACGACTGCCCTCAGCAAATCAACACATAATCCACGCCGACTGCTCTCGGGGAGGTTTATGTGCTCGTATGTATCGGTAGGTTATTCCATTCCCACGCGTCGCTGTTACATCGTATCGCTCAGCTGTCAGTGTATCACCGAGCTCGCTCTCTCACACACACACACACACACACACACAGAACGCGGAACAGCTTCCGGTTCAGCGCCTGACGTCATTCCGAACGACACATCTTGTATCTGCTTGGAAAAGATTGTAATATTAATACGATACGGATGGGTGACTGATAGATTTTATCTGGCATATCTGTCTTTTTATTGGCTGTGCACGTTAAACTGGTTACACGTTAGCAGTGTTGGGGTAGCGCATTACAAGTAACGCGAGTTACGTAATCAGATTACTTTCTTCAAGTAACTAGTAAAGTAACGCATTACTTTTTCAAATATTACTTTTATTTTCCAATGCATTGATTGACAGCTCTCCTGTCCCCACGTTGATTTTATCTGGCATATCTGTCTTTTTATTGGCTGTGCACGTTAAACGGGTTACACATTAGCAGTGCTGGGGGTAGCGCATTACAAGTAACGCGAGTTACGTAATCAGATTACTTTCTTCAAGTAACTAGTAAAGTAACGCATTACTTTTTCAAATATTACTTTTATTTTCCAATGCATTGATTGACAGCTCTCCTGTCCCCACGTTGAGGGAAATCAGAAGATGTTACTGTAATTCTAAAATAAATATGAATATGCATTATCTCACTCACAAAAAAATAAAAATAAAAAACACTTTCCTCAAAATGAATAAAAAATAATGCAACTCAGAATATGACGCAAACCTGCAATAATTAAATGTTAAACAACACAAATATGCTTTATGTATTTAATCCCGTTCTATTAACCAGTGTCTTCAGTTCAACCGTACTAATCAGCACAAATTACTCTTGACGAACATTTGTGTCTTTTTTTATTGCTGAAGTGTGTTGAATCTCTTCTTCTGCATTCTACGGATGTAAATTTACGCTTTTATATTTGGCAAAAATATAACTTTTTCATTTTAAAAACAAACAAGCAAGCCCTGTCCAGATTTAAAAAGTAACGCAAAAGTAACGTACCGCATTACTTTCCAAAAAAAGTAACTAAGTAACGTATTTAGGTACTTTTTTATGGAGTAACGCAATATTGTAATGCATTACTTTTAAAAGTAACTTTCCCCGACACTGACTATTAGTCACTGAATGGAACCTTTCTGTTCGTGTTGTATTCATGAAATACAAAAAAAAGTATTTTGATGTGCAATAATATATTCAGCTTCATAGGGTTGAATAGCCATGTATTATAGACTATGTTTGTATTTTGTAGGTTTATATACTGCATGTATACACATATTAACCATGGTTTTACTACAAACAAAGCCAAAAAACATGGTTACTATAGTTAAACCATGGTAACCACAAATTAACCGTGGTTTGGCTACACTAACCATAGTTTAACCATGGTATTTGTAGTAAAACTGTGCTTATACAAATGGTATTCAATATGCCAAAAAAAATAAAACATGGTTACTAAACTTTTACTACAATAAAACCATGGTTAATTTTCAGATATACACATTTGCTTATCTCTGCAAAACTCTGACATATGAAACAATGCCATGATTGTTTGTGGAGAATGAAGTACATTCTGAATTGTTTATTGTGTTTGTCTTGCTCTTTTATGTATTTTATGTTTATTGTTGATTGTGAAGTGCTTTGAGCCCTGGAAAAGTGCAATACAAATTAAACGTATTATTATTATTATTATTGTTGTTGTTGTTATTAGTCAGATTTTCCAAAGTTTTAATAGAAAAAATAATAAGGTATGTAAAGTACTTAAATTCAATCAATCAATCAATCATAATATTATTGACTGTTATCATTTTATTTTATTTTTTTTATCCAACATCAACAAAAGCCATCTGCAAAGATGGTACAGAAGCTGTATCTGGCATGGCAGTTATGTGTATTTACACAGACTGTTTAATGCTGCTCAAGTACATGTATACACATACACACACAAATGCATCATGTAAATATCCTATACAGTGGCATGAGAAAGTTTGGGAACCCCTTGCAGAATCTGTGAAAATGTGAATCATTTTTTACAAAATAAGAGAGATCATACAAAACGCATGATATTGTTTATTTAGTACTGTCCTTAGTAAGATATTTTACATAAAAGATCTTAACATATAGTCCACAAGACAAAAAAAAAAGCTGAAATTATTCAAATAATCCCCTTCAAAAGTTTGGGAACCCTGGGTTCTTAATGCTGTGTGTGGTTACCTGGATGATCCACGACTGTATTATTATTATTATTATTGTTGTTGTTGTTATTAGTCAGATTTTCCAAAGTTTTAATAGAAAAAATAATAAGGTATGTAAAGTACTTAAATTCAATCAATCAATCAATCAATCAATCATAATATTATTGACTGTTATCATTTTATTTTATTTTTTGTATCCAACATCAACAAAAGCCATCTGCAAAGATGGTACAGAAGCTGTATCTGGCATGGCAGTTATGTGTATTTACACAGACTGTTTAATGCTGCTCAAGTACATGTATACACATACACACACAAATGCATCATGTAAATATCCTATACAGTGGCATGAGAAAGTTTGGGAACTCCTTGCAGAATCTGTGAAAATGTGAATCATTTTTTACAAAATAAGAGAGACCATACAAAATGCATGATATTGTTTTATTTAGTACTGTCCTTAGTAAGATATTTTACATAAAAGATCTTAACATATAGTCCACAAGACAAAAAAAAAAGCTGAAATTATTCAAATAATCCCCTTCAAAAGTTTGGGAACCCTGGGTTCTTAATGCTGTGTGTGGTTACCTGGATGATCCACGACTGTTTTGCAGAATCTGTGAAAATGTGAATCATTTTTTACAAAATAAGAGAGATCATACAAAACGCATGATATTGTTTATTTAGTACTGTCCTTAGTAAGATATTTTACATAAAAGATCTTAACATATAGTCCACAAGACAAAAACAAAAAGCTGAAATTATTCAAATAAACCCCTTCAAAAGTTTGGGAACCCTGGGTTCTTAATGCTGTGTGTGGTTACCTGGATGATCCACGACTGTTTTTTTGTGATGGTTGTTCATGAGTCCCTTGTTTGTTCTGAACAGTTCAACTGAGCACCGTTCCTCAGAAAAATCCTCCATGTCCTGCAGATTCTTCATTTTTCCAGCATCTTTTGCATATTTGAAATGCATGAAGCCCCCCCCCCCCCCCCCTCACTCCATCTCATTTGGGCCCCCCCCCCCCCGTATTAATGCATCATGTTTATCATTTTAGTCATTTAGAGGCCTTAGAAATTCATGTATCAGATATAGGTTTTTAGGGATAATATCGCTATTGAAGGCGTATTGAAAATATGGAACATTGCTTAAATATTGCTTTGCTAAGCATGCACAATTACTGAATAATGTTTACAGCGAAGCAATTGTAATTAAGAATACAGTTATACACTGTTGAAATTATGTGAGTTATGCGGGGTTCGTAAACAGAAAATATGATTCAGTATAAAACAAACACACCCAGGGAGAGTCCTTTTAAAACAATTATGCCTGTGTGTGAATGTGTGTGTGTGTGTGTGCACATTTTTGTGACAAATGAGGACATCAATTTGTATAATGACAAAGGTATGACAGGTATTACAAGGAGAAGGTGACTTTTCAGGACATTACCCCATGTCCCCACTTTTCAAAACGCTTATAAATCACACAGAATGGAGTGCATTGAAAATCTGAAATAGCACAAAGTCTCCTGTGAGGGGTAGGTTTAGGGGTAGGGTTGGTGTAGGGCAATAGAATATACGGTCTGTACAGTAGAAAAACCATTACGTCTATGGGATGTCCCCACTTTTCACAAAAACAAACCTGTGTGTGTGTGTGTGTGTGTGCAATATACTTGTCGATCTACAAAAGCTATTGAATATCACCTACAGCGACAATATCTCTGTAAACAAGACGCGGCCATTTAGAATGCAAGTAAGATTACAGGTTTTGTGACCTTTATCGGCTCCAACAAAAGAGGCTTTATTTAAGCTTCACACAAAAGGCCTCCTTAATGAAGGCTCATATTGGCCAGCATTGTGCTTATGTTATCAGAGCCTGGTTTGATTTAATGTCATTGACGTCATGGACACGTCATCATATCACTAATTCAAATCTTTCTGTTCCAAACATATATTCCTCATGTAAAATCAATGCGGGCCAGATGTGGGCCTTATCTGGGCCAACACTGTTTGCTGTCTGGGATATTGAAGACTGTATAGACATACAACAGACTGTATAAATATACAACAGATAGTCTGAAGAGGCAAGAAAAACACAAGGAACAATGTCAGCAATGTCAGGTATTTCTCATTTCCTAGTCAGCTGTTAATACTGTCAGTAGGCTATCACATCTTTCAAGATTGTAAGGCAAGGCAAAGGTTTATGTCATGGACAAGCACTGCACACTATCAATCAATGCAATGCAATGCAGCATCGCCCTCTAGTGGTTTATAATGTGATATCTGCACTTATTAAATTTAATAGAATAATCGGTCATCATTTAAAAGCAGGAAGGTCAGAGATCACATTCTTTCATGGCAGCTACTTTTTTTGTAAGGATTTCAAAATGGAAAGTTGTGTCTAAAAAAGGAAAACAGTAAGACATGGATAGATGCTATACAAAAGGATGTCATTATCAACCTAAAAGTATGAGATCGTAGATAATGAATGTTTCCTGGCTGAAATAATGTCTTTATCACAGTCCAAGAGCTTTTTAACAGTCCAGGCATGTTGGGTTGTGCTCACGGCTCTGGACCAAGTCATTTAAACGGAACATTTAATTAGAGCAGGTTGATATCAGATAACGTTTTCCTTTCATTAGCAATAAAGAGGTCATTATGATGTTTTGACAGACAAACCCCGTCCTTAATAATCATGATATCATCTGAAGAAAATGCATTTGTACTCGAAGGCTGATCATTTATTCATTTTGATTCCCATTTTATTGCATCATTTCTTTCCTCTAGCAGCAGAAGTGTCTCCACAAAGCATTTAATACAAGACTCGACAGGACAAATGATTATTACTGTCTGACAGACTCAGACAATGACACTGTTCACAAATTACAATATACAGATGTTTAATGC